ATTCGTGCATTTGTATGTGTGTATTACGCGTAAAAGCGCGTAGTAAAATCTCAAAATTACGATTGCAGCACTAAATACGAGCGATATGTTCGTGCGTAGAAGTAGACGCAATTTTACGCAACAACGAGTAAAATAACGTTATTTAGTATCATGCATTAAAGATAAAAATGTACAATCTAAGAAATTGTTTTTCTTGTGTAAGAACACGTACATTAATTAATTCCGACTTGAAAAAAAAGAAATTACTCTCCGCAAAAACATCAGTGGAAGAAAAACGTTGAGCAAAAAGAGAGAGAGAAAGAAAAAGAGAGTTGCAACAGTTGCATGAAACAAAACTTGTCTGACATGCACGCTTCTTTTCTACTTGATCTTCCGGATGGATCTATGCGGCAAAATAATTAAAGTTCACAGAAGTAAGACGTACGTGCAATTGTTCTCGCAAATGTACGAGCTAATCTTAGTAATGGCTTCTATTAAGATGAGCACGGTTGAACATGCATTAATACAGTTTTTGCGATTGAAACACACTAACGAACCACGATCAAGCTTATGCCTAATTTAAGAGCCACCACGTGCAAAGCGACAAAGTTCTTTATCGACAGATGTACGAGAGAGCAGTTTATTTCTTTGTATGTACGGCACATTCCTATGCTATTCTCGATCCTGCTAGTCTCGTTCCGTTGCGCTAAAAAGTCGTTCGCTCGTTAACGACAGTAACAGTCTGCAATCGTGGAAAGGACGATTGTAGTACGTGGCCGGGGCGGAAGAAAGTTTAGCGTACGAAAACCGCTCTATCTCATTCGCTGCCATTCTCTAATCCTTGACGCATATTCATTATCCGAATCGAACGATTAAAGAGCGAACTGCAAGTTGCGTTTTGCAAATGATAATTCTCAAATTGCGATTGGAAAATTATTTATAATATAAAATCAATACAAAAAATTGCGTATTCGCGAAATATAAAATTCAAAAACGCATCGCCTGCTTATTGAACTTAACAAGCGAACTCGCGTTTCGATTATATTTTTTCTTTTCTCTAAATCACGTTTGTTTAATGCTTCATCAACGCGAAACAATCACGCAAGAGGACAAATAACGCTTTGTAAAGTTTAACAATAGCACTTTGCCGTCATGTGAGACCGTCGTGTGACACATACGAAGTGATACACGTGCGGACAGAAATATGGCACGATAAAAGTATATACGTAATGTACTAACAGTTCTATTTTTTGCTTCTCTCTTTTTTTTTTTTTACTCCGACAAAACACTCGGCAACAGTCGACAATGCTCATCTGCTTCCGCAGTTTTTAAAGCGACGACTTTCATGTTTCTCCGCGTTTACGTCAACGAGCGTTTTCTGTTCTCCATGCGTGTGTGAAACACGTGCTACTGAAGTCGCGTGGAGAATAAAAGATAACCGTTAATAGAGAAGAATAAACAGAGAGTTTACAGCTTCAACTTGTATTTTATTTTGCCTCGCTGGTAATGAAGATATAAATTCGGTTAAGAAAAGTTGAGATTTTGTTGTTCGTGTTTTTTGTTCTTTAGTACATATTTAATAATCAGAAAATTATACACAAATTTTGAGTCATCTTGCGCGTACTTGTCGCTCGTGTAAAAACATTTTCATTAATACGTGAACTACGAAATGGAGAGAACGAAAGAGAGCAGATCGAGAGCGGATGTACGTACGTATATACATGTATACGGTGGCCCGGGGGTTAAGTGGAGAGTACAGCCGCAACATAATGGCACTAATGTACATTTAATGTCTTAACTTTGAATGCGGCTTGCGGCCTGCCGCGAGATAACATTTTAAATATGTTTTTGCATTGCAACCGGCCGACGCGTCGGTCACGAGAAAGGAACGAGCGCGTCTCCTCTCTCTGAAACATAGTGAGGAAAAAAGAAAGTTTTTAACGCAACGATTGCGAGGAACCCAACTATGTTCCTCTCCGCCCTCCCCAAGACGCGCAACGACTAAGACACTTTTTCCAGGGGATTTCTTTCGTTTTTTTCTCTATTTCTTTTTCCTTAGTGGAAAGGCTGCATCAAGAATCTACGATCTTACTGTCGGCCGGGGAATACCAGAAGTTTTTCCATTCGCCGCAACGACAAAAGAAACCAAGTGGCGCGGGAAACGCCCTTATTTGACTCCGACACGACAAGCGAATTTCAGCGAATTCTCTGTGAAAACTTGACGAAACTTGACGATCGTTATCGAGTGTTTATTGTGCGCGCACAAAATGCGATATGTTAATTATAAACAATTTTAATTAAAATTCTATTTTTACCTACAAAGAGAAGACAAATAAAAATAACTCGTAAAAGATAAATTTGAGTCTATAGTGTCAAAATTAAATTATAGTGAGATGATATATGTGACATTTTTTTTTGACGTGTACAAATGAATATATTATAGAAACTTTTTGTTAGAACATTGGATCTAAAATATTCTGCTATTAACAGATTGTGTTTGAATGAATTATTGAAGAAGAGTCGCGGAACTGTCAGAAAAGTGTCACAAGTCAAAAGTGCTCACAGATTATATATTTGATCTCTATTTTCAAATTCGAGATACTGTTTAATTTTAGCAGTTTTATTTCCGGGCGCGATTATTGCAAAATATATGTCTGTACTACAATACCTCGGTGATCTTTCAAATTGTTATTATTTTGTACTTACATGCGAGAGATATGATCTCAAAATTATTCCACAAAATTCTTTTCGCGATTTTTACGGTTTTTCATTGATTTTATCTGTGTTGCTAAAGATCGAAAGACAATTACGCGTGTCAGAGATAAAGAGACTAAAATGCAAAACAGTAATATCACTTCTAATTGTAAGTGGTGTATTTCGTGATAAATTCCGCATTGCAACGTGCGCACCATCACGCCCTTCCGCGTAGTCTCTCATTGCTCCATTCAGGGCCGTCCGCTAAACTGACGTTATTGCGCGTAACGCGAGTGCTCGCCGTATTCGAATTTATTCGGTGTGCGAGCCGTCGACGGGTTCGTTCGTATGCATAGCCCGGCATGTTGATTGGCTGGCACGCAAAGTCGTGCTCTCACGCCGGCGCTGCAAAGTCCGTGCCGTTCGTGTGGCAGCTCTGTGTGTCCCGCGTCGCAGATATTGCATACATGCGTTGTATTAATATGTATTTAAATTAGTGTCTCAAAGCGATACGAAATTACGTAATACAGCGCTCGCTGCTATAGACGGCTGCTGACGAATTACACACGCATTGCTCGACCCAGTCTCGAACAAAGCGCGCGATGTAACTCCTCTTTCCCCGTAAAACCAAGAGATTCCAAGAGTCTGTCTCGTGTCTCTCGAAATTGTATTTATTGCACATCTTTAACTTGATGTTACATCTCAAAACTGTTTTGCGACACGCGAAAGCAGGCGTAAGAAGGAAGGTATTATTTATTGTGGTAGAAAATTGTTTCGAGGTATCTCCGTGCGATACGCGACAAACACTCGCTAGCAAATGCTCTTGACGTGTCGAGTACAAACGCCTGTCTAGAGCGGAAAACTCGAAGTGATGTAACCAGTTACGCAACTCTAAATAAAAGTAAGGTGAGTTGTAATCGCGTCGATGAAAACTCAGCACGGCATGTAAGCAAACTTATTTTTTTTTTTTTTTTTTTCGATTACTGTGCGCGAAGTCTCAGCAATGTCGCAATGCACCAAAGAACGGGGAGATGGCGGTATTGTATGCAAAAATTACGTCACATTCGTCTCTAGAGGTTGATGCGCAACATCGCCGAGCAATGCATCATACGATTGCGGAACAGCGGAAACCCTCTAAAATCGCGAGATCGGGAATTAGTAATTACGAAACTGGCAAACGCCGTAGATCATTCGAGTGCACGGTGTCGCATAATTTTAATCCAACGCTTTTCCCAATCGGAGAATAGGTACATATACATTCTTTGTTATCATAAAAAATCAAAAGGCAAACAATTTTGCTATTTTTCATTTTTATTCCAATTTCTCAGCTTTTTTTTTTTTCTTTCTGTTTATCTCACGATCTAATTTTCTTAGTTTTAGCTATCAACTCTTTCACGTCGAGCTTTATATTCAAAGTATAGATGCTGTTGCGTCAAATCGTTTAAAACTTAGAGAATAGCCAGTGAAGCAAAACAAAGTTTATCCCCAAGCTCTTTACTGTAACTTATTAGAGAAAGGTGTGGGAAACGCTAGCTTATTATTTAACGATAATTACGAGCGTCTAAAAGTAGATTCTCGAAGATATCCTCAGACTTTCCTCCTCCCCATTGAACGAGAAAACGTTAAAGATAGCGGCGAGATATTGCACGCCGAACGAAAGATTGATTAACGCTGATCGAGAAAATGTGCAATGTGCATTAGCTCTGAGAGAGCGTACAATTTTCCTCAATAGTTTTCCCGTTCACCTTTCCGTTCGAGACAATCAACCTGAATCAAAACGTCGAAGACGTTGCAGAAATAGTGCGATACGACAAAAAAAGAATAGAGAACAATAGAATTCGCGAGAATTACGTTTCGTAAAATCTTCTCGAATTCGTGACGTTTCAACGTGTAACAGATCTCAAATCCCGCGTAAACTGTGTGGCGAAAATATCGAAAAGAATATCAATTTTGTTTCTGTTTCACAATTGTATGCGTTTAAATAACACAAATTCGTATATTACATTCCGATAGTCACGCAGCGCGAGATCGAAACGCACAACACAGACAGACATACGCGACAGATATCCTCGTGATATTTGTTACCGTGTAAATATCGTAAATCGGAAAATTAAATTCAATGACAACATAGAAACGCATCGGAACATTTTCATGCCTTACGGCGGATTTAAATCCGCGTTATATTGAATCACACAGAAGTATACTGTGTGCATTTGCGCGCCCGAAAATGCGCGTTTATACACACACGTCCGAAAATATCTCACGTTCACAGATTCCAATACATTAAACTAATACACATATATTGTAAAATTGAATCTAACGCTTACCTTGACACATTATTGTGATAATATGCAGTATACTGATGGTCAAGTATCGACTTCTTCTTTGTCGGTCCGCCATTTTTCTTCTCGCGGATATTCGCTTCAAGTTCCAAAGGTAATCTGTAACAAGAAAAAGTACGGTCTGTCATAAGAAAAGAAATAATGACCAAGATTTTACGAGATTCTCATATCTTACAGAGAGAGAAAGAGAGAGTTGACTTTTTTCACTAAATTGGAATAAAACGAGAAAGGCGTGGAAGTAAAAACTTGTGTGAAAAAAGCGATTGTTAAATGATAAAACGTATTTATCATTAATAACGTAGTATCTCTCTCTCTCTTTCTCTCTCTCTCTCTCTCTTGCAATCATTATACATGTATCGCTGTTGTTCGCTAGCAAACAGATTGCACAGGTTATTAGTTGTCCTCGGTAAATAACTCTATTCTATCATTAAAGGCATCGATATAAATCTAGCATAATGCACGTACGCAGAGAATGTATGCACATGTCAATCTGGCATAATGATCAAATGCATATTGCAATGTTGTAACATGGCGATTGGTCAGAAATGCACACAGCCGTGAAACCATTAACGCATGGCTAAGTCAGTGTAATATGAGGATGCGGTAATTAACGAACGTTCAATGTTAATCAGACTTATCAGACTTGAAATGCGCGAGCACGTCACACGACACAAGATGCAACCGCGTAACGTGGTTCAAGTTTGTATTCATTATCGGCACACGCTCGATGATTATTAATGGCAAGTCGAGAACGAAACCTCACAACTGCTGAAAATGATTCGAATCAAATAATCATTCGACGCGTCGCCGAATGTGAGCGACAGAATTATATAGACATGCAAGTGTTATTCAAAGAAAATGCCAGGTGCAATATAAAGGTTCTCTTTATTTAATTCGCACATGCCAAACTTTTTATTTGATATGTATACATACTCTTCAGCAGCGTCAATATACGCGACATTTATATAAACCTTGAATTAATGTATGTATGAAACGCATTCATATTACGTTTCATCTAATTAAAAATAAAAAGATCGAGAGAGAAAGAAAATATATCTGTGCTAATTATTTGTTATATATGTGTGTATATATATATATATATGTTTCTCTAAATTTATATTAAATATTTTATCGCTTCTTTCCAGAATTTAATATATTATTTAATATATATACATGCTGTATATATAAATAAAGCTGTCAACGCGAGCTAGATGTTTCCTTGATAAAGTTTGCAACAAAAGTTTTTGCAAGCTATTATACGGATATTTAAAGTGCAAAGAGTCTTCTAATATTACGCGAGTAATGCACAATTCATAATGTTATCACGAGTTTTACCGGATATATAACAGGGATTTCCATAACGATGCCACGTTGATATTCGAGTAAAACGGCCTGCGTCGCCACAGCCTGAATTTACTTCTACTATCGCGCTCGCTCCGTAATTAGCAAACTCAGTTACGTAACACCGTTACAGTAACGCCCATGTTCCTTTATCTATTTTTCTCGTAAACTTGTTCGTGACGGGTTCGTCGAAAAATGTTTTGCATGAACAGCCCCAAGCAATTTTTTGTTGCTGTGTTAACTATTTGTATATATTTCAAAGTGTGTGGAATAATATACAACAGTATGATCGTATTATATATCTAAACTGAACAATCATAAGTGCAATATAAAGAATCACATGAAATATAATTGTTAAATTAAAAAAACAACGTTGTGATGAAGCAAACTTCTATAATTTTTAATTCCACTCTATTCTTAATTTCTAGTCTTTCTTTTTCCTTTCTATACTTTCTATCGCTATAACTGTGTATACATATTTATATGTATATATAAATCATGTCACGAAATGAGTCACGTAGTTTGTTAGTCAGTGAAGACCTCAGTTAGTGCATGTGCTAAACTTCGAAAGCATATACACACTATGTTTACTGCTCGAGAAACGACTACCGAGAAGCTCAACGTTGAATAGTTATGAGGTGTATACTAATCTGGAAATTTTCGTATTCTAATCCTTTTAAAACTAAGTGTAAGAATCATCACATTGTTTTAATTACAATAAATTTACTTTGTATTTTAAGATGAGCCTTCTAGGGTCAATGATCGTATGATTGTCATAAGATAAAATGAGCGTTCTAAAGGTTTCTAAAGTCTAACGGGTCAACGGTCACATGAGGCAACGTGTGTGTTTAACAGTCACATAAGTTTTCGCGTAACTTAGTTTTGTTGGAAGACAAACAAGTTGAGTTAAAAAATTTTGTAGTATTCTTTCTCTCTATACGCACACTTGTGTCCTAACATTGCTATTATTAAAACTGTAGAAAATGATATATAAAGCTTGTATGTTGTTTTATATTACTGCTTTTAATTTAATCAATCTCAATATATATATATAATAAAGTAACGTAATCAATTTCAACATATATATATATAATAAAGTAACGTGCTTTCAACATTTGTTAAACTAATTTGCAGAGAGAGAGAGAGAGAGAGAGAGAGAGAGAATCTGTTCCAATTACCAATTGGTATCATGTCGCGTACAATACAATATTGCGGCGCCAACAATAATTATGTTGCTGTTGCGATACTATTATATTTATAGTTGCCGTACTCACAGTCGATCTCTTTTAACGGCGCGTCGATAGTTTAATCTAATTGAACCGTCGATAGTTAGTAGTACAAGTCGGGAATTGCCGCGACGCGACACGTCGCGCCGTTGCGTCGCTCTCGGTTGCGACGGTCGAGATTTACGAGGCGATTTACAAATTGGCGGTTATTGTGCCCCGCTTTGGAATGAAACTGTCTCCTAAATCAAAACGTCTGCCGACGTTCATTAAACGTCAGACCAATCCGGGAAATCGGCCGCTCGCAGCGCTTCCGCCGCGCTGCCACGACGACCGTCACTACTGCATCCTCCTTCGCTTAATCCTTGCTCTGTTCTACGCGTCCGCAATCCCATTGCGCCAGCGTGACGATGCGCGGTCACTGCGAATTTGTCAGATCTGCCGTCGATAAACATAAATCGAACGACGCGAGCCGACTTGTTTTTCCGAAACGCGCAAGTAATCGAGAGACATCAAGTATAATTAAATTTTTGCAAAAATCCGTAATGCAAGTAGTAAAATCAACCTATCGACTTGAATTACACGTTACGTGTTTTAATTTGTTCTCGGATGATGATACGCCGTTGTTTTTTTTTTCGCATAAATCTTTCTTCTGAAGTTTATGTGTTGTCCCTTTTACTTCATATTTAACATCTTCATGGCATGAAATAATAATTTGAGTAATAATCTTTTCTACACTAACTTGATTTAGCTGTTATCTAGTCTAATATCTTGTTAAAGCTTGAAAAAATAAATTTTTTACAATTTATAGATGAGAAACAGTTATTAATATTTATGCGTGTAGGTATAGCTCTCTACTATTTATTCCATAAAGTTTGAATATGTATCACTAATATAGCACACACTATTATTAAGTAAACATTGAATCAAGGTTAGTGATATTATCATAAATAACTCTCGATTATAATAACTCATTTGTGATAATTATAATAACAAATAATAACAATAGAGGTAACAATATCATGCATTATGTCATAAAATTATAAATTACGACGTCAAATGCAAGATATAGATGTACGTCAAATGCAAGATATAGAGAAAATACACAAATAAAAAACTAATCGAGATATTTATTCTTTCATAAGATCATACATGAAGTAACAAAGACTGTGCCTTTCTGTCAGATTATTTACAGTGATATTGTCTCTATTTTTCTTACTACTTTGTACTTTAAAATGTATACTAAATAATTAAAATCTAATAATTTACGTAACGAATTAATTATATAATTATATCGCACGCAGCCCCGAAAACATCGACACAATTGCCATCATGAGTCGAGAAACAGGTCTGATGAAGGTGAGCCCGTAACATTCGATGTAAGACGACATCTCTATTTTCTTTACGACAGACATTACTTTTATTATCCGTCGTCATAAAAACACGGGTGAGAAAAACAGCTGGGGCAGAAGAAATGTTGGAACGACTTCTTGCTGTACGACGCAGGCGATCGCCAATATCCAATTCGGTCTACTAAAGTATCTTTTTTTCTTGTTTATTTGGCGATTAGCAACGTAATCAAAGAAAAACAAAATAAACGAGATATCAAACGTCAATTTGCTATGCTATATACAACAAAATAACAATTTCTATTAAACACAGGGAAAAGAATAGCTTACATCCGCTATTCTAACTTTTGTTGAGAATTACATGGAATCTTTTTAACAAAAGAACAGAAAATGTTGGATCAAACTCAATTCATATATAAAAACATCGACGTCAAACTTTTTTAAATTACTCGTAAACAAAAACGAATAGAATATTCTTGTATATATCACGCCGTGAGACGAGAAAGAAAGAGAGAAAATAGAGCAAATAATTGATATATTCAATTGAGATGAACCTCTCACGTCAGTGATTTTAGGGTCAAGCAAAACTTGTCAAAACTTGTGCAATTGTGTGTCGTGTCATCGGTATTTTTATACAGCCGTTAGGTGTATAAGAAGCGAAAGAACGATATCGAATCGATTGAAAGTTTGCGAGGTGAGAAAAGTCTGGTCGTTCGATGAACATCTATCGAGAACTGCTCGCAATAAATGCTACTGCACAAAATAAACCTTTCGATAACGTTGAGAGAAAAAGAAGAGAAGAGAGTGTAAAAAGAGAAAGAGAAAGAGAAAGCTCCATCACCGATAAATCTCGTTAATTCGCGTGATTTAAGCGTAACGTAATATAGATAATTAATAACATCTCGTTAACAATCATTTACACACTTGTCTGAAAAATATTTGCAATTTCACGGAAATATATATATATAAAATATTATAAAATGAGTAAAATATTAAATATTATAATATGTATAAAATTAGACGTAGTCATTCGAATTGTAGTTCGAATTTTAGTGATATCAAACGCGCGCCAAACCAAACGCAGAAGTGTCGATATAAATTTCCGATCATAAATTTTTGATTATACAGACAAAAGACGTGTAATTGCTTGCTATGTCCTCGAGAGATCAGCATCTCTCTTCGTTCC